TTTTCAGAAAGAATGCAATCAGTATCATGTGAAACATATCTAAATTCTTTTTGTAATTTATTGAAGTATGTATTTTTGTATTACATAATTTAACTATATAACTATAATAGAACTGGATGAACTCAAAAGCAATTTTCCTCAAAAAAATATTAAGTTTTTCTAAATATCGACGATGATTTATTATAGAAAATATTTAAGAAAATTCCCTTAACTGAGAAAACATTATCACTCAACTACACGATTTGATTGTTGCTGCTTCATTCTGTTTCCACTATATAAAATCTAGTGTGAAACAGAGTTTAAAGACTGCTTTTAATATCTGAATTAGTGTCTATGTTCTTTACATGTCGTGTCAGATTCTCTGATTAGATGTTTTTTGTGTGTGTTGATGGCTGATTAGATGTTTACGCGTAATTAAGGATTTAATATTTCTAAATCAAAAATAAAATTCTATAACAAATCATAAATCTAGAATAAAAAGCTTAATCGATGCTTATGACTAACCTTGGTCAAAAGCAAGAAATGACTGATGTGGAAACCTGTTATTGGTCCACTTGTCATAACTACATATGAGCTACCCATGTAAGAGAATTTTAAGAACTTGTTCTTCTTCTGTGGTTAGGTCCCTCTAAACCGCTCAACATGTTACCAAGAGCAATCAACTAAGCAGTGTTTGAAAATGCATAAAGTATTTTATTAGATACTTAACGAATACTACTAGCATTTGGTTTTATCTTTTTTCGGGCCATTAAAATTCTATTCTGACCATCTTTTTACCCTTACCTGGTCCATTTCTTGATTCCTCTATGTATGTGTATATATATATATTGGCCTCCAAATGCTAAGTAAATGGATATTCCACCATAGTCACAATCTCATCAAGTAGAAACTCCATTAACAAGATTGCGTCCTCTTTCTCCTTCTCCTTTCTTCTCTCCAATTTTCAAATCTGTACTTGCTTCAAAAGAAGAAACTCCAAAGCATTGCTGCTGTAAAATCTCAGTGTCTGCCACTTAAATATATAGTACTTGTTAACTTTTCTACCTCCAAACGTACCAACACTACTCTGTTCTTATAATTTCACATTCCTAATCATTTCTTGTGTTAGCCTTCTTGTGGGTTTTTGCAGCATTAATGGTGCACTGAGTAATAAATATTTCGTTTTTTTTCTCCTTTTCAGAAAACGTTAAGGCATGGGTCAGGTCAAGTTGGTGTAGTAAAGGTCAGAACCAACGTGAGAGAGAGAGAGAGAGAGAGAGAGAGAGAGAGAGAGAGAGAGAGAGAGAGAGAGAGAGAGAGAGAGAGAGAAAAAAAGA